TGAATTTTTGATCTAAAAACAAAACGATTGCAAGTTGAAAAGATTTATTGTGTGATTTATTTATTTATTACAAGGAGACAAAATTACATACACATTTTAGGCTTCTCAGCAGCTGGTGGTGTGCACAGTCAGCATAACTACTCATTTGAGGTACTTAGACTAGTGTCATATTCTACACATCTAAAGTGGAACCATCACAGAGATCGCATAAAATCATGTTGTCGTATTCTTCTGGCAGTTTACATTCACATACCATATTATAAAAACAATCGCTTGCAAATTTTATCAATACGAGTGTTAACAATAGCCGCCACAGTAATCACTTGCTAACAATAAACTATAGGATTAGTAAAAAATCCATGGAATGTGTTGGGAAGCGTATTGACTATTGTCCGTTGAATCGTCAACTTTCCGTGTCAGTGATATAATCTTAATTCTTCACTTCCGCAAAGAAAATTGCATTATATAATATGTGGTGTGGTTTATTCAAATAATTTCATGATACTTTGATTTTATTAGTGCATGCCTTAAACATTTGAGAATGTAACTCTGCAAAACTAAAAGCTTTCTTGTCTTTTTTGAAACGTATATTATTGGATTATTGCCTATTGGCAAGTTCTACCCTTCGCTTCTGAGATTTATAAACTATATTGAAATAATGCAAGTAAAAAATAGTGACAAACCATACATTTTCCGATAACGACAAAACGTGGATGCAAAACAATACCAATAATTACAATAACTACCACGGTGATTACTTTTTAACAATGAGTTTAAGGATTAACACTGAAAATGCAAAATATGCGTGGTGTGCTGTGAAGCGTCATAAGTCCTATTGAGTATTCATCTACTGTAACTGTGTAAAGCCCTTTCGATACATGTAATTGTAAATTTGTATTCTTACATGCAGGGCTTGAAATAACGTTCCCAAAGTTCCCGATCATGGTGATCGGCAGTCGCGACTTTCCCTGCTTTTTTCAGGTTGGAAACCGAAACCCTGCTTTTCCGCCGATCATAAGCAATTCCTTGCCGATCATTGATCGGTGATCGGTTGTTATTTCAAGCTCTGTCTTAATTTTGAATTGATACTGATTTCAAATGATTAAAGCCATGTAATAATTATCCCATGCAACTGTTAGGAAGGGCGAAATTTTGAACAGAGGACGAAAATCCTAAAGAAAAGGTGAAGTTTCTAAAGGGGGGCGAATTTCCTAAAGGGGGGCGAAATTCCTAGGATTTTCGCCCCCCTGGGGGGCGATATTCCTAGGAATTTCGCCCCCCGGGGGGCGAAAATGTAGGGGGGGGGCAAAAATCCTGGGACACCGGTATTGCACAGAATACCTTATATTACAGTAATAGTGATTTGCACTGCACTTGTATTGTTGTAGCATTTTGTTGCGCTGTGTGAAAAGGTTTGCCCAACCGTGCCGTACTTGTACAGTACTTGTACAGTACATGTGTCGTTGAATCCGTATTTGTACGAAACGCTACAACACTAGCTACAAACCTTCATTATTATATATAAAGGTGCAGACATGTTTATACAGTGGCACAAAATGCTACAACATGACCACAGTCCATAGTGTACCTCATACTACAACACTAGCTACAAACCTTCATTATTATATATAAAGGTGCAGACATGTTTATACAGCGGCACAAAACGAACTCATTTGCATGCAGTTGAGCTCTACTACGCATGCATACCATATGCTTCAGAATAGACATGTGCATAACGTGTAATCATGCACTGCAGTGTGTGGGTTCTGCTATATACAGTGTGTCCCAAAAAAAAGTACCCTCTATAGAAAGTATCCTATTGTCATAAGGGTACTTTTTTTTGGACACACTGTACATCACATTAAAGCCGGATTTCCACTAGGCGGAATTTTCCGTGCGGAGCGGAGTTTTTCTTTGTCTTGTGATTTCTCGGGTGGAACTAATTAGAAAAGCAAAGAAAAATTCCGCTCCGCACGCAAAATTCCGCCAAGTGGAAAACCAGCTTAAAGTGTGAATCATTCATCGTTAATACAGTATAATAAATGGTTTGGAAACTTGATGGAAGTACAGTATCTATATAATTGGCTAGATCGGAGTGGCCAGATTAAACATTGCTATTGTTGTGTGCCGAGGTTATGATCAAATTTTTGCATATTAAACCTTAAATCACTTATAGTCCTAGATAATCGACACTCGAAATAATTTTACTATTTCCCCACATTCAGGTAATCTATTCTAGTTATTTAAGAGGTTTGTATAATAATGTATACACCCCAATAAACCGTTCGCGCAAAGCTAAATAACACAGGTTTAATAACCTATTGTATATATACATGGTTTATACCCGCAGCGCGAAATTCACTTTACATGGTGATGGACAAACATCCAAGAAGTATATACTTGCGTTCTATTTAAACCCAAATAAGTAGCTGTGAATAATCTGAGTAAATATATTTCAAAGACAATTAACCCATAAGCCATTTTGCTTATAAATGTGCATCAATCTATGTGAGCTTTAAACTAAGATAAAGGAAACTTTAACGTAACTTTACAACACTTTAGCAGTGTTTATTCCAAGGTTCAACGTAACCACTAATTATAACCGAGGGTTAAAAAGAGTTAAAATAGAACTTTAACACAGCTTTGTATCAATTTATCAACAAATATCCAACAACTATATATAATTGTGTGTTGTTTGTATTTAAACCCAAATAAACAGCAGTGTAAATCTGAGTAAAGGCGTCTTTAAACTGACTTAACCCATTTTTTAAAAAATCCTGTACATCAACCTATATGTGAACTTTAAAACAACGGTTAATAGCCCATAAAGCAAACTTTACGCAACTTTACTGCACAATTTACCAACATTTGTTGAAAAGGTTCAAAGGTACCATTACTAACTGAAGGATAAAACCAGTTAAACGGAACTTTAACACAGCTTTGTGTCGATTTGTCAAGAGAAGAAAGAAGTGTGTGTATAGGTAGGTCTATATTTAAATGCAAATAAATAGTAGTGTAAATACGAGTATAGACATCTTTCAGCTAATTTAACCCATATTGCTTAAATGTACATCAATCTATATGAGATTTAAACCGAAGGTTAAAAGCTTATAAAGCAAACTTTAACATAGCATTTCTACAATTTATTAACATTTATCCAAAACGTTTAAAGATGCCATTACTGAGATTGATCCCGTGTTTACTGCAATGGTGTAAAGCCGTCATTACACATGTTTAATAACAAAGTGTAAAGGAGTGCAAAGGGATCTTTCAAACCTTTACCGAGTTTAGATAAAGCAAGGTAAAGCAACCATTAACTGTAATTTAACTACAATTAACTTCGTATCAATTCTGTAATTTCGCCCTGTGATACATTTAAATATGAAAATCCGAAGTACACATTATAATAGTATATATAGTAATTATTGCATGTTATAATTTCGATATTTCTTAAACAAAATAAATTCATTCATACAGTGTCTATAAGGCAATTTGAGTAAATGAAGTTTATTGGTATAATCAATCCCCAGGACTTTGGTGCTGAGGCAGCACTTCCCTTGCGATAGTAACTTCTAGTTAATCCCCGAGCCGACGAGGGTACTAATTCCCCCCGGCTATTTACACCCGGGGAAACGAAAGCATTAGCGGAGTCTAAAGTTCATCAAATATCGCGGGCGTGGGTCACCAACAGTGTTGGGTCATCCTCACTGATCTCAAAATTATGGCGTACTGTGATGAAAGCGAACACTGATTGGTCAAATTTAAAATTTGTTGTTGTATGACAAATGACGACTTCAACTGACAGATACTTTATGAAAATATTTTGCTTTTTGCGCTACAGTATTTTGTACACGTTTGCAAAATTTTTTTGACAGCATTAAAAGCAATAGAAGGTTCAATAAACTAATTACGGTATTAAATACCAATTGAAAATATATGGAGCCAAACGAAGAGCGACAAGAAAACGACAAGAAAGCTGAGCATCTGGCGAAAAGAAGGGAGCGAAGACGGCAACGTTTGCTCGAGGAGACTGCTGAGGAAAGAGAAGCTCACCTGGGAAAATGCAGAGAAGCATGGAAAAAAAAGACTGCTGAAGCAAAAGGTAAGCAAAGGGAGTATAAGAGAGTTGATAGGCAACAGAAAGAAGCTGCAGAAAGTGCCGAGGAAAGAGAAACCCGCTTGGCGAAACAAAGAGAAGCATGGGGAAAAAAGACTGCTGAAGCGAAAGGTAAACAAAATGATTATAAGAGAGTTTATAGGTGAGAGAAACAGGCTGGAAAAAGTGCCGAGGAAAGAGAAACTCGCTTGGCAAAATGAAGAGAAGTGTGGCAAGAAAGGACTACAGAAGCTAAAGGTAAGCGAAAAGAGTATAAGAGAGTGTATGATTTAGATAAAATGCAAAATGAGACTGAAGAAGAACGAACAAACAGGCTACAAAAGAGAGAGCAAGACCAAGCAACCGAAACAGTTGATGAACGAGCAAGAATACTTGAAATACTACGAGCAGTTTTTCACACAAGTTCAAATGAAAATGACCAAGAATCGAATGAGCAGTTGAGTACGTCTGTTGATACAACTGTAGATATACCTGTATCTGTTCCTAAAGCACACAAGGATAGTGAGTCTGTACATGAAGCAGAGGTGAGTAGAAATAAATATTTACATGAGGGTGGTTGGCAAATTGTTGACAACCCTCTGCATGAGCTAGAGTTTGTACAAAATGAAATGCACAGTTTTCATTTAGATCAAGAACATTTAGAGCATCGACAATGTAGAATGTGTAAAGAAGCTTGGCTGACATGGCAGAACTTGGCATCAGAAGTATACATTTGTTACCGGTGCAAGAGAGACAAGAAATCACCCAAGAAATTTAGTGCCGAGAATGACATGGACCCAGGAACAGTACCTGAACAATTGAGAGGTTTGACACAGGTAGAAGAAATGTTAATTTCAAGGGTTTGTCCCATTATGAGAGTGTATAAAAAACATGGGGGTCAGAGGGGGTATAAAGGACATGTACTTAACTTACCTCAAGATATTCAAAGTTTCTTGAATAGGCTGCCTTCTTGTGTGGCAGACTTGCCTGTCTTGATTGTGCGAAGACATGGTGCAGAAGACACACATCGCGACTTTATTGTGTGTCGACACAAAGTTCTCAAGGCTGTGTTATGGTTAAAGACAAACAATCCATTCTTTAAAGATATCGAAATTGATAGAGATGTCATCCAAAGTTTACCAGAAAATGGTATTCTCGATGAGCTAAGGTATGTCATTGATGAAAATGAGCTTTTGGTTCATGTTGAAAATGAGGGGCCTCCCCAAGACCCAGTAATGAGTGCTAATGCAAGTGTGGAAGAGTTAGTTTTAGGAAATGGCAGTACATCGTTTATTTCTATGCGTCAAAGACAGACAACAGAAGGTGCAGTTATCCAAGATGCAGTAAATGAGGTTGATCTGTTAGACTGGCCATCTACTGAAGGTAATCTCGTTAATGAATTTAAAACAGACGGTTTAGCTACTATGGCCTTTCCTACATTGTTTCCTTATGGGAAGGGTGACCCAACAAATAGGGCAAGACAACATGGTATAACGTTAACTGAAGCTTTCAAACATTTAATGAAGTTTGCAGAGAGGCTTGCAGATGGTAATTTTGAATGGAGGTTTGCTTCTCACCCACGGTTTCCTTATTGGGCGTTAAACATGAAACAACGGCATCAGCTGTTGTCACAAACAAATGTTTACTTGCATCTTACTGGCATCTTGGATGCCGAGTGGCACTGGTATCGATTTGAGTACCAAGCTAGGGGAAGTATTCATTGCCACGGATGTGCAAAGTTAAAAAAAATGACCCTGATATTCGAAAATTACGTAACAAAGCATGTGTTGCATTCCTAGAGAGTGAGACAACAAGGTATGAAATGTCACCTGATGATTTTGAATTCCTTTGCAGGGATGTGATTAGACCGGGAGAAGATGCCAAGAAGTTGTTAATACAGTAAGAAAAAATATTTTCCATATTATTATAGTATTAATTATTTGTTTCCACTGTATAGACCATGCTAACTCATGTGCACAATCTGATATTTGTGGGATATTCTATGATATTTTTATTGATGAAATTACTTGAGGACCATGAAATTAATTATTTGAATATTATAACTTTAACTCAATTCGATCCGCGAATATTGATTTCCGACGTATATGACGGGAAGATTAAATATTAAAGAACTCCGTGAGTATTTGCAGTAGAAATACAAAAATACCACCAAAAAATTCCGCTTGATCGATACTATATATTCCGAAATATTCGTATAATTTTGTTGTTTCTAGCTCAATTTCAAGCAAATTTCTTACCTTGAAATGATCAATGTGGTGAAATTTATGCAAATGATGCATTACCAATTTTGCTGTTGCATTTTGAATGTTCCACCTGATTCAAATGCTTGAATCTTTGCTTCTTTTCAACGTATAATAAAGACAAATATATAAAAAGAATCGCCATCTTGCATTCTATAGCTCGGAGCAGTCTCGGGAAATTGCAAAATAATCTATGCCTATTATGGCGATTCTCGTGCTCGGAAAGTGTTCGGCCAACTTCGGACGCCAAATTCTTGGTAAAGCATTACAGTTTCCTGGTAAAAGACTGCAGATATCAGTTCCGGAGTGTTTGTTTACCCTAGATACGGATTTTGATTAGCTTAGGAAGAAAAACAAACCTTTTAGAGCAATTTTCCTGATTATTATTGCAGTGAGGAAGGTATTGATCCTGTTCCTAGCTGCTGTTCCTGTTTCATAGCCTCAGGGAAGTAGCAGTTCTGATGAGTCATGAGAACCCCACTCCCCAACCCCATTAGGAAAACGTGTAAGTGTGGAGGGAAGGTAGGGGGATGAGTAGAGGTAGAGGGAAGCCCAGCCACTAGGACTCAAGGTTTTGAAAGCTCGCTGTCTAGCACCCTGACTAGGCCCCATAGTACATGATGGATATGCATGGTGACACTGACACTAGGAATATTCTCCCAGATTTTGCCCCTCACCGACATTTCCGGGATCCATTTCGATCACGCTTCCACCAGAAGTATGAACTGTGAGCTTGAGTTCATTCGGCTCTTTTTTACTAAGGGAATGCTTCAGGAGGTAGTTTCCCATACCAATACGTATGCCCACATACAAATAACCCAAAAATCATTCCCATATACTAATAAAGAAGGGTCTTGGAGTCCACCAACCTTGAGGAGATTGAGAGGTTGATTGCCTTTTTAGTATATGCAGGTTTGGTAAAGGTGGACAGTGAGGTTGAAAACTATTGGAGTGTAAAACCTTATATCATGGTCTGTGGGCAATAGAAATAATTTCTCGGTTTAGGTACAAAGCGCTTATGGCATTTCTGAATATGGTAGATCCTGTCACTGAAGACTACAGCAATAAACTGCATCAACAACTGTACCATGCAGCCATCACAGAATATTACTGTTGACGAACACACTGTCAAATCAAGGAATAGGTTGGGGATTCAGCAGTTCATGAAAGATGGCCTACTATGTGGGGGTATAAATCTGTGGGTTGCTGCAGACAGTCCTAATGGTTATATTGCGACTTGAGATTTTTATAGGAAGAAGTCCAGAGATTCATATAGCAGCATGGATTTGGGTATGACGTGGTGATGTGATATAAGTTTGGTTACAGTCTTAGGTCCTTTGTGGTCCAATATATATTTTGTGCAAAAAAATGAACTATTTTCACCACATAATCCAATTATGTGTCTTGGCAAACATTACTGCCTTGGAAAACATTACTTTTTTATAACTACTAATGATGACGCCAGCCCAACAACACTTGGTCATACTATATGCAAATATTTTCATGTTCTAGATTGTGAAAACAATCAATTTCTAAAGAAATGAGTAATGATTATTTAAAATTTGAATAGCAAGACCAAATTTTCAGGCTGGTTATGCCACTGACGACTAAGTCAATGGTGTACTGATTATCTAAGAATGTATATAGTAACCGTAGAAATAAAGACATTTTGCAAATAGTGATTTGAGTGTTCTTTTGTGGGTATCACAGACTTATTTTGGTGCATACTATCCTTGGAGAGTAAGAAATATTGGAAATTTGTATTGATAATATGTTGCAGCAATGAAAAAGGACATTTGATAAGAGTATTTGTTTCATGTGAGCACAAAATGTAAATTTTACTCCACTACATAGTTTATTCCAAAATTCAATAGAAATGGTTCTATTTATGCTACATGCATGAAACGTCGGGTACATGTAGATCAAAACCGTGTCTTTCAGTTACATTCATAAAATTTTTTGACACTTTTGAAATTTAAACCAGTAAATACATTTTTGCATAATTGCTACATTTTTTTATATCATAATTTATGCAAATTTATGCGAGTAAATCGTTAACCAACCTCGGGATGAAATTGAAATGCAATTTCTGTTTCCGTACGATGTATAGTTTGAAAGATATATGCGTTTAAAACAACAGCACTCAAAATTACTAATTTTCGACCGGATGAGAATGAGTTAAGAAACATCCAACTGTGTTACATACCATCCCTAACAACCCAAAGAGTAATAAGGTAGATAAATCGACTCTCACAGATAAAGTTCAACTCCAAACAGCTGGTGATAGTTCGTTGACATTTAATGATCGTGCTAACAAAATCAACATTGGCTTTATGAGTGGAGAAACAGACAGAGAAATTCCTAGCCAAACAGGGGCCGGAAAGCCTATGATTGCCAGAGCGATAATTCCCATTAAAGTAAGGAGCAAAGAAACGAATAAGACAATCGTTACGTACGCATTTCTTAACAATGGGAGTGATTTGTCATTCTGTACCGAGAGTCTAGCCGAACAGTTGGGTATCTAGGGTATCGAAACAGTGATTTCATTAACAATGATGGAAAAGAAAAACAGCACCATCAACAGCTCAATTATCCAGCAATTGGAAGTCTCGGATTTGGATGAGAACTGTTCTATTGACCTACCACTCATCTATACTGCAGCTGATATTCCTGTGACAAGTAAAGACATTCCAGATCAAGAAGACGTCGATCAATGGCCACATCTTCAAGGCGTTCAGTTGCCAATCGTCGACGCTCAGATCGGTATTCTTATAGCAAGTGATGTTCCGAAAGCGTTAGATCCTCTTGAAGTCAGAAATAGCGAAAACGGTGGTCCGTATGCGACAAGAACATTGCTAGGATGGGCAATTAATGGACCTTTATTTCGTCAGAATAAATCTCAAGGCATCGGAAGTTTTTTCGTGAATTCAGATGTGAATCGAATCAATCTCTGATGTGAAGACTGAACACAGTTCATGGCTAGTGTTCGAAATACAGCTACACTGAAGAACGGTCATTATGTAATCGCGTTGCCATTTAAGAACAATGATCATCAAATATCAAACAACAAAGAACAAGTAGTACAAAGAGCCCATTGGTTGAAACAAAAGTTACTGAAAAAACCAAAGCTTTTTGAAGACTATAAAGTGTTCATTGATAATCTCCTCAACAAATCGTATGCTCGAAAGGTTCCACCAGAACGTTTGTGTAAAAGTGATGGCAAAGTCCGGTACATACCCCACCACGGCGTTTACCACCCCCACAAACCAGGAAAAGTAAGAGTGGTGTTCGACTGTTCCTGCAAATATAAAGGCACGTCTTTGAATGATCATCTACTGACTGGTCCTGATTTAAGCAACCACCTACTTGGAGTTCTGATGCGGTTTCGCGAAGATCCAGTCGCATTCATGGCAGACATAGAAGCTATGTTCTACCAAGTTAGAATACCAGATTCCGATAGTGACTTTCTTCGTTTTCTATGGTGGACTGACGGTGATTTAACGAAAGATCCCGAAGAATACCAAATGCTTGTGCATGTCTTCGGCGCTGCGTCTTCGCCGAGTTGCTCAAATTTTGCCCTTCTGAAGACCGCAGAAGACAATGAAGCAAAGTTCGATAGTGATGTGATCAACATAGTTAAGAGAAACTTCTATGTAGATGACTGCCTCAAATCCACTCCTACAGTCAGTCGTGCAGTTCCACTTGTCCAAGACCTACGTAATCTCTTGACGAAAGGCGGTTTCCATCTGACGAAATGGATAAGCAACAGCCGCGAATTGTTGGCAAGTATCCCAAAAGAAGAACGTGCCAAACAGGTTAAAGATCTTGACCTAGACCAAGATAAGTTGCCAATCGAAAGAGCCCTTGGAATTCAATGGTCCGCGGAATCTGACAAGTTTTGTTTCAAGATTGTTATTAAGGAAAGACCACCGACCAGACGAGGCATCCTCTCGATAATGAGTTCTATCTACGATCCGCTTGGTTTGTTATCGCCAGTTATCTTATCTGCAAAATTAATTTTACAAGAGCTATGTAGACTGAAATTAGGCTGGGACGATAAAATACCAGATAAGTATCAATCAGCATGGTTGCGATGGTTGGAAGATCTTCCCAAACTTTCTCAGTTATCAATCCCACGGTGTTACAAGCCTTCAGATTTTGAAGTCAAGTCAAATGAGCTACACCACTTTTCGGATGCATCTGAATCTGGATACGGGTCGGTGTCTTACCTCCGCCAAGAAAGTCATGATGAAAGAGTTCATTGTTCACTCGTGATTGGAAAGGCTCGCGTGACACCACTGAAGACAATCTCTATACCTCGTCTCGAGCTCTCAGCCGCTACCGTGTCTGTGCGTGTTGATTCCATGTTACAGAAAGAATTGGATCTTTCGCTCGAAAGTTCAACGTTTTGGACGGACAGTACTGCAGTAATACGTTATGTGGAAAATGAGAATCGAAGATTCCAAACCTTTGTTGCCAATCGTATTGCCATTATTCGAGATCGATCAGATCCTGTGCAGTGGAGGTTCGTTGATGGTACGTTAAATACCGCAGATTTTGCATCACGAGGCATGACCGCTGACAAATTCCTGAAGTCTAACTCCTGGATAAATGGTCCCGATTTCCTGTGGCAACCTCGGTCGAGTTGGCCAGAACGTCCTGTAAGCCTTCAACCCAACGAAGTTCCTTCTGATGACCCGGAACTGAAACGTGATATAAGTTCCTGCATCACCGAAGTCCATAAACCTTCATCGAAGGAGGATACTCTTCTCAACCTTCTACAAAGAATTTCTTCCTGGTACCGTGCAACGAAATTCGTAGCATGGATTCTGCATTATCGTAGAAAATTGATCGAAGCTGCTCGAAAGCGCAAGGAAAAGTCATGTGAAAACAAAGAGTCATCAAACAGTGTGAAGCTGACCGTTGATGAGCTAAAAGCAGCAGAGAAAGTCATTCTGAGATGTGTCCAACAGAAGTATTTTCCAGAGGAAATAGCAGTGCTACAGAAGCAAAAATCAAAACAAGCATGCATAAAGAAGTCCAGTCCACTATCTAAACTTGATCCGATTTTCCAAGACGACCTCCTACTCGTGGGTGGAAGACTGCGACATGCTCCAATTCCTGAATATTCGAAGCACCCAGTCATCCTACCGAAAGGAATTCACGTAACCAATATTATCATTCAATACTACCACGTTATCTCTGGTCATCTTGGTAGAGAATATATGCTAGCACTTCTACGTAGAAAATACTGGATCATTCAAGCTAATTCAGCTGTAAGAAGTTTACTTTCTCGTTGTGTCCGTTGCAGAAAGTGGAAAGCGCCAGTTTTGGAACAGAAAATGGCAGACTTGCCTAAAGATCGTTTAACCCCTGATCATCCTCCATTTACCTACGTTGGAGTCGATTATTTTGGACCATTCCATGTTCGTTGTGGCAGAAGTTTAGTAAAGAGATATGGAGTAATCTTCACGTGCCTGGTAATACGAGCCGTTCATATTGAAATCTCACACAGTCTCGATACAGATTCGTTCATTTTGGCTTTACGAAGATTCTTAGCCAGACGAGGACAAGTCAAAGAATTAAGATCTGATAACGGTACTAATTTTACCAGTGGAGAAAAGGAGTTAAGAGAAGCTATCAGCAACTGGAACCAAGATAAAATTCATGGTCACCTTCTACAGAAGCATATTAAATGGACATTCAACCCCCCTTACGGATCCCACCATGGAGGCATTTGGGAGAGATGCATCAGAACCATTCGTAGTATTATGAGAGCACTACTGAAGGAGCAAGTGATTAATGACGAAGGATTGCATACGATGATGTGCGAAGTCGAAGCTCTGATGAATGCTCGACCCATCACAAAAGTCAGCGACGACCCAAGAGACCTTCATGCGTTAACACCTAATCATCTGCTACTTACTCAATCCAATCAACCCCTTCCACCTGGAGTGTTCAGTAAAACGGATATTTACTCGAAACGACGATGGAGACAAGTGCAATATCTCGTCGATATATTTTGGAAAAGATGGATTCGTGAATATATTCCCAGTTTGCAGAGGAGACAAAAGTGGCTCCAGCCAAAACGTAACGTGACAGTTGGTGATATAGTATTGTTGGCAGACTCATCTGTGCCAAGAAACACCTGGTCGATGGGAAAAGTCGTAAAGGTTGTAGCTGACAAGAAAGGCTTGGTACGACGTGTTCAAGTCCGAACAAAGTCTAATATATTGGAGAGACCAATAGATAAGCTAGTATTATTATTAGAAGCGGACAGTGTTGATGAATAAGTTTCATATATTATAAGTGTTTCATGGTTTTACACACTTAAGGGGCCGGTGTGTAGCATACAATTGCTAATAATTAGCTATTATGATAATGTAGAGTTAATTGCCCGCCAGGGCTTATATAAAGGACGGAGTTTTAACGTAAATTTTTGAATAGTGTCAAGCCGTCATAGTTGGGATCGTCAACAAATCTTTGAACGTTGGCCTTAGAGCCTTATCGGCAGTTAATATATATGTGTTTGTTCTTTATAAGAATTGAATAAAGTAAAGTTTTGTGAATCGTTATTCAAGTGTCTATTCGGCAGTAACAATGCATGTATCATACATTCGTATTTTATAAAGTATGATGACTATGAGAGTTTTCGTGTTCACTATGGCTGAAACATTTATGAAAAGCTAAAACTGACACAGACAAAAGACAGTGTAAACACAGCCTATTTAAGCAGGCGCTAAACCGGTGTAAACTATTATGCAAAGATGAACAATACCGTCATTAGTACTATTAGTATTTTTGTGCAAGTGAATAAATATATAATCCTACAAGTTGTCAAGTTGATTGGTCAAATTTGACAAATTCCCCAGCCTCCTTTGCAGACATCAGAGAGAACGTACACAACTGGCGGCTGCGAGGGAGACTACAAATTGCCCGATAATCACGGCCTCGCCTTGGCGAATAATTGTTCAAAGCCAAAGGCGCAATAATAATCGTGTGTAGTTTATACTTATACGTGTTAGTTTCTCAATATTTTGTATTTGCCAAGCAACTTTTGTCACAATTGTTTCTATAAATCTGTTATAAAGAAGAAGTTCTGCAGTATAAACTGTACTATACATACTATAAATACAAATATTATAATAAAATTTAAATATTAAATTAAAAATATTACTGAGATGATCCTGTTATCCCACAGGCTATATCTATGAAATTGCACTGGTATACCTATATAACTGATAGTATTTTTTACCTTGAATATTATATCATGCACAAATATAATTATACGAAAATCTTAAAAATATAATTTAAAAATCGAAAGTCCAAAGTCCAAAGTCCATAGTCCAAAGTCCAAAGTCCATAGTCCAAAGCCCAGTCCAATGTTTACAACATGCCCTCGGCAAACTCATTCCCGGGCCGGTATTAATAGGTGCACAGAAAGCGAGTATATATCTAGCTGGAGCAGGGACGCCGGAACTGCGGGGGCAGGGGGGGGGCTGCCCCCCCTTGCCTTTGCTAAACGGGCAGGGGGGGGAGAAGTGCCCTTTTAGTTGTAAAATACTACGTGATAAATCACATTTCCAGTTATGCTTTTTCTGGCAAAAGCATGAGATTCAGGTAATTTATAGGCCCAGAGAAAGTTAATTTACAAAAATAAGTGTGAATTTTGAAAAGAATGAGGACAATTTACAAAAAATTTTGAAACTATTTTTGGAATTTAGAGAAATATTTTGGATAAATGCGGAAAATTGCTGATATGCGGAAAAATTTTTTTGCGTAACGGAAAATTTTGGTATGTCCGGAAAAAATTTTTGACCCCTAAAATGGTACACTGACCGAAATTTTTTCGCCCAAAAAATTTCCATGTAAAAAAAAATTTTCCGGTAGATTTTGAACTTTTGATCTCTAGAGGTGCCCTTGGTGTGCGTCTGCCCCCCTTTGCCTTTTCATCGTTCCGGCGTCCCTGAGCTGGAGTATATATAGCAAATATATAACTTGAACCAGTGTGTATAGTATTTTCCCAGATTGTGTTCGCCATGCATTTTTGGTACGGCACTGGCTATTTAGTTTGAGCCATAAGTATAAAAAACGGCATTAACATAATGCACAAAAGACATGCATGTATCGACATTCAATTTATTCACGATTTATTCCGTTCAGTCACAACCAATAACAACCAAGTATTTTGCCTAAGCATGCAAATTAAAAAGCGGCAACCAGCAGGAATTAGCGATTTTGCTTATGCCTACGTCTCGATAACAATAAATTCGCCTTCGTCCTTAGATGCAGGTCAACTTCTTCAAACAATAGATGAGATGATAAACCTCATTAAGCTTCATTATCTATTGTTTAAATTGCTTCGACAAGACCGAAATTTAACGTATAAAACAGGCCTTAGGTTTGCAAAGGGCATATGAAGAACATATCATTCAACAAAAGTCTGATCTTTCCGAATATGAAAAAATCGCAGAGTAATTCAGATACAATAGCGCACTCACGTTCGATTACCTTTTTTTTACACACAATTGTTACATATAAAGTATTTCCATTGTGCATTAAACGTCGTTTAAATAAGGCCAATACATATATAGATATACCTGCACGCAATTTTTTCATGTTTTGCTTAATCCTCTTTAGATTAGTTCAATGGAAAATCTGATACCCTTGAACGGTTCATTGTTAAAACTCACTGCTTCTTGCGAAAAGGGCAATTCAAAGGAAACGCATTGTGTTCTTCTTAAACTGGAATCATTGCCACCATATTCTGAGGTTCGTATAATTATACACTGTTCCATAGACTGTTTGATATATTAGACCCGGAGCGGATGGGGGAGGGGTGTCTGACATAAAACAGAAATCTTAAGTAACAGTGTTTGTTTCACGAACACGAACCGAAAGTCATCGAACTGACATGACAACAGCCTGTCTTTGAAATCACGAGCGTAAAACTACATCGACTGCGGTGCGATTAGAATTGTGGAATCAATAATCTTTCTTATCTAGGTAATCAACAGAACCCCTTCACCCTCTCCCAGTATAATAAGTACAGGAAAAGTAACAACTGCATTTTCTGAACTTTCACCCACATCAATAACTTCAAAAAACCCACAGAAAGGTGCGAGAGAAGAAGAATCAGAGTCTGGTGGGACAAACGCCGCTGCTATTGCCGTAACTGTTACTCTCCTTCTGGTAGCCTTGGCGCTACCATTGGGATATCTAATCTACTACAGAAGACGAAAAAAAAGGTAAAGTTGCAAAAGATGAAAATGATTGCAATTTGCGAGCAATAAAATCTCGGTAGGTAAAAAGCAAAGAAAATCCAAAATCTGGCTTGATATAAATTTTTAAGTCAACCTAAACATTGATTTTAAAATTGTCAAACATATTTATGTTGGCTTTCTCTTATTTGTTTCTTCCTTTTGAGCCGCTTGTCAAAGAATTTTTTTGGTTTTTAACTGTGCCCGCTTACACTATTGGCTGCTCATATGATAAAGGTATCCCATTTAATTAATTCATTATTTGCTCTAGAGTTATATATTTGCGACGTGCACATGTTTTAAAATTACAGAAAGATCTATTTTATTTTAGGGCAGAAGGGCAGCAGACCAATACTAATGGTAAGAATCATAGACCTTGCTATAGATTTTTAGGCCAGAATTACTGCGGGTGTCCCAAAAAAACTAAACACTGTTTGCATTGATGTAACGTAAAAGCTATAAAAGCTATCGCAATGAAATAAAGATAATTGCATTCAGAAAGGCCTAACTTAGATTTTGATATATAGCACTTGAATTTACATGTAATATTGACTATGCTATTGATGCCTGAACGTTTAACTACTGTTTTTCAAAATGCCAAAAATTAGCATAAAACAACTTTATATATATACTGTTATTGATTTTAACGCCTGGACTATAAGACTGTTCAGTGCAATTATTCAGTAATAAAAGTTGGAAAGTATACATGGACTTTATGATAGCTACTAACCTAACAAGTCTTGCACTGAATTGAAAGATCGTGACTAAAAATATACTGAAGTTCAGCTGTTGACGATAATTATATATAATTCGTATTTTCAGACATTGGGACCGTCAACTATTCCAAGGAGATTTACGAAGACCCGGATCGAATCTACGAAACGCTAAAGGAGGATGGAGATGAAGTACCACCAAATCAACCTGGAACATCCTCCGACATCTATAGCAACCCGGACAGTAATATGGTCGGTATTCCAGTATCGACTGAACAAGAGTACACTTATGCTAACAATACATATTTGCCGAGATCTAGTGTAGGCACGAAACCAACGACCAAGGAACCTATACGTAACGGTGCTGTGTACGAAACTTTAGAACAGCCTGGACAGATGACTGATGATGATTTCTATAACTACCCTGATAACACCAACATCGCTAACCCTGGATCATCAGAACTGGAGTATATCTATGCCAAAGATACAGATCTGCCTAGAGCTACTGCAAATACAAAGGCAGTGCGCGAGAGAGATATTGAGCCAGCTACCTGTGGTGGTCTGTACCATACTCTAGAACAGGAGGGACCAGCATCAACTGAACAAGAGTACAGTTATGCAAAGAATACTGACATGCCTTCGATATTTCGAAACCCCCAGGTAACTGAAAATATTTATGAAATGTAAACTTTATCCCTGTTTGACTTTGTACTGAGAAAGAACGTATTTGTAGGTCAATAAGCTGTTGCAGCGAACCCGCCACACTATTTGTTGTAATTTTAAATTGTAATTTTATGGTGGGGGAAGTTAATAATTAATTTATATATATAGTTAACAGATGAAATACCAAATTGCAGTGATCACACATATATTGATGTTATTGAAGATTCCAGCAACACAGATTCCCGAAAAGCTGACAACTCATCTACAACCGCATAGACGAGTCGACTGCATGTTATATTCAATATTTATCACAAAAAGTGTTAGTCTTTCAAACATGTACTATACTGAGACATTCCATCTATACTACAGTATGTGGTTTGATATAAAACAACTGCTGTATATTTTGTTTAATATGTCTAATTAAATAACCATAAGGGTGAGGATTATGCGGTAAAATATCAAGTTCTTGCTGTCACGAAATGGCAATAGAAATTGCCGCACCAAATAATTGGAAAAGAGCACGAATAATTAATTATTTTAAACCGTGATTTCAAAAGCAACTCTAAAACTTAGTTTAAATCATCTGTTCATATAGAAATATATATCTTTTTATGTATATTGTTAATACTATATTTCAAAAACTTATTAATAATTCATGAGGAAAACACAAAGAAAATCATAATCGTGTCGTATCTTTGTATGTGATAGAGATTTCCCTTCATTTACATAAACTTTAACTTTGATTTTCTCAACTTACACAACGTATTTTTTTGAAAATTATTTCGCCAATGAACTTACTAGTCGATCGTTTTTTATGCAATTTAAAACATTCGCAGTGCGTGTGTGTTTTATCAGACCCAGGATCAGACCTAAAGATAATCAGCTCCGCCCAACCTCGTACCCAGGGTCTCGGCCTCTTGGGGAGGAAAGACCCTGGTAGACGCTGGTCACGTGATCTGCTAAAATCTAGCAGATTTATAATTAGCAATCCAAGATGAGATCAATAAATATAGTTTTATATTTGCATGATTTTTATAGTTTAATTTATAATTCGCATTTTGTATGATTGTCGTAAAGGAATCCAAGATTGAAAACTAGATTTCAGCAGATCACATGACCAGCGTCTACCGGTCTTTTCTCCCCAAGGGAAAGACCCTGCATGGTACGAGGTAGGGCTCCGCCTCGTATCTTTATATCTGATAAAACACTGCTTCTCATGTTTTAAATAGTACTTCAAAAACTCATTAATAATCCATGAAGCAATTATCCAATCTTGAGTAAGAAATTAGTCACGTGCATACGTCTTTATACCAGCTAAAGAACACTTTAACAAAAGACCATTGTTACGCAAACTATATATAAAGATTTTTATATAAAGATTTTTATATAAAGATTTTTATATTTAATATTTTTATATAAAGGTTTCTATATAAAGATTTTTATATAAAGATTTGACTTATTATGCAAACGTTTTTGAAGCCATTTAAAAAACTCGCAGGTCGTGTTTTATTAGGTATAAAGCCACTCGCGCTGCGCGCTCGTGGCTTTAAACCTAATAAAACACTCCTGCTCGTTTTTTAAATAGTACATAAAAAATTTCTTTTTATATATATTTATAATTATATAACCATTGTTTAAAACATTGTACCATAATAAACAGCGAGAATTTAATTTTCAGGTTACAATTTTCAATCATGCACAATATTTGATTCTCCAAAATAACAACAATGTTACAATATCACTAACATTTTGATTTAACATTTCAAGAAAATCATTTGTACGCTTTGTAAAGTTCATGAATAATCAATTAATGAGCTATGATATTGCACAACTCTGCATGGCTGCCACCCCCATGTCTGATCACGGAGAACATGCTACGATCGCGATGGAAGGGCCAGTATGGAAATCACTCAACCCTGTCAAAATTCCTTATGAGACGAAACAGTGGAGTGCATGCCTGGAGAAAACCCACGCATTTCGGTATAGAGCTTTGACTGCCTCTTTTCACGTGAGTGTCACGTGAAAATCAAACTCACGATAACCACTATCTCTCTGGTGAAAGGCGCTAGCACCGAAGCTCATGTATACTCTGTTTACGCTTGTCATCCTTGTATATTCGCTTACGTTGTTCATGTTATAATCAGGATTATACATAACAACTGTAGCCTGCATGCATATATGCCATGCAATGCATAACAGCAATTCAACAACAACAACAAAGAGAGACAGAGACATCTCTGAGACGCCCACGAATCTCAATTTTCTGTTTAAAACAAATGTTTTGCGTAACTATATAATTAAAATTACCATACACTTATTTTGCATACACGTACACAAAAACTCTGCAGGGTGGTGTATTAAATCGGCGAATACTCTTAATACTTTCATATCAGTCTCAAAGGGCTTCTAGACTGACATGTCGTACGTAAATTAAACCGAAATTAAGCTATAGTTTCGATTTATTTGAGAGAGTTTGGTTGATTAGTTTAAAGGTAATGTAAATGGGGTTTACCAGCAGAAAAGGAATCTCTAACAAGACTTTATTTTCAGTGATTATTTGCCTATGGCTACACGGAAATAATGGCGAAGTGAGTGGCTTCAAAATATACCGAGGTGAACGTGATATATTTACAAATTTGGATTATGATGAAATTAGTGGCACATCAAGTGGAAGTGGCACATTAGGTCAATGTTCAAGCTATGGTGCTGAGTGTGTCAATGGCCAATGTAAATATTGTCGTTGTTGGGAAGGCAATAATACATTTATACGTGATTCTGATCAAATGGAAGGAAATTGCAAGAGTGATAAAGATATAGTACCAGAATCAGGTATATGCATGCATGCGTGCACTTTCATCTTTACAGTTGACTCGCATTTCGACGCATTGCTTGTATCAGATGATATCAATACTGAAATATAAGTGGTGTTTCCACAAACCAAAATATGTATTGTTTTATCGCCATGCAAACTTTAAAGGAACATTAATTTTGTTCGTCGACTTCTCAAAAAGCTGCGTGTGTAGAACATGCACAATGGACATATTGAAAGCATTATTGACTTGTTGCACTAACAAATAGTATTTTATCCACCTGCAAGAGCTTGTAGCCAACGTCTCAATAGACTATCTAATTATATAATCAGACCATTTGCAAAATTACTGACCATTACTGTACTAGTCTCAACTTTATTCTTTGATTTCTGTTGAATTTTATTCAGCCTTACGTAATGTTTGATGTATCTGTCTGTTTTTACAAGAATGAAGTCGAAGCTATGCGTGTATAATGCTATTATGCTCCAGTAATTGTGTAAATGGACAATGCGGTGGTTTAATCGTGGGAAAAAGTGGGGACAGGGTGCGCACCCATCCTCCCCCTACGTCCTCGCCACAGGAAGTGTTTGCTTATTGCAAATGATTTAGTAGAAACACCGCGGAAAAACGTCTGCGCATGCACCAAATTATGAAAATATGCATGGCGGGGAATTTGAATATCAATTTCTAAAACAAAAACATGCTTATTAATTGGTCAAAAATTGGTGAAACAAACGAGAAAATATAGCAAATGGGTAGACTAGACATTAATTGAAAGCGTCCTGGCATTTAAAGTATGGAATGAAATATAATTCATGTAAAAAATCGTTGATTTTAACGGACACGACTTCGAAAATTTTTGCAAAATTATTCAAAACAAAAATTCAAACTAAAAAGTTAAGAAAACTCTCGAAAAGTTAAGCTTCTTAACCCACTC